CCAATTGCTGTCTATTGTAAACAAGGCATAAAGAAAAATCAGAAATGAAACCTGAATGATGACTGCCTGAGAGTTCCACTGGGTATTATATCAGGTGAGACCTTTGACTTGCTTTTATTCTCCAAAGCCTTAAATGCAAAATATAGTGGATAAAACTTATTACGACTTACATCTTGATACAGTTACTATTTATGAAGCATCTACCTTGTACCAGGCTCTGTGTGAGGACTATTTATGAAGCATCTACCTTGTACCAGGCTCTGTGTGAGGTACTAATGACTTTTAAACATTCGATTTTCATGTCATCCATGTGAGGTAAGGGTGAACATTTAGGAGATGATTAAACTGAATCTTAGAGAATTTAAATAACTTGTCCAAGATGCGGAGCTAGGAAGACACAGAACAGGGTTTTGAATTTAGACCTCCCTACTCTGCTTGTAAGAGGAAAAATTTAAAAATGAAAATCAAATTGACACCTTTTTAAACATCCACATCAGCACCTATTGCTGCAGTCTGATAGTGGTTTGGGAGGTTGAGTTGCAGTACATGGCTTAGGGTTAAGGTCAAGCACATAAGTATGGTCTCAAAGACTGTACTACTGACTGCTTAGTCAGTTTTCTGGAAATAGAATCAATCAGGTGAGTAACTCCTCCTCTATTTAGCAAGTTAAATAGAGGAAGGTAGGTGTTGGATTGACCTGGGGACTGGATGTTTCAAACTCTCCTCCCCTCTCTATGCAACATTTCTATAACATGATGTGCAGGGTGTCTGAGAGAGGTTTAATAGGGGGTGCAGAAAAGCAAATTAATTTTAGTGTCTGCAGTCATGTTGGTCTTCATGAAAGAAGTACTCTTGGAGCATTTAAAATGATTAGAATTAGTGTTAGTAGAATTAGGGAGAAAAACTAAAATAAAATGGATAGTCTAGTTAGAGAGGACAGTTCTTTAATTCATTCAACAAACAGGTTTTGGGGACCCGCTGTGTGCCAGGCATTGTTCTAGGCACTGAGTAGTGAACAAAGCAGAAAAATTCCCTGTTCTCATAGAACATACATTTCAGTGAGTGGTTGAGACAGACAATAAACAAGATAAATATATATAATACATAGTATTGGTGGTAAAGAGAAAATAAAGTTGGGAAAAAAGATAGGGAGTGTGTGTGGGGGGGTGTGTGTGTGGAGGAGCTAGAGATTCAATTTAGACAGATGTCCACAGAAGGTCTCATGGAGAGGACAATATTTGAATAAAGACCTAAACTTGGGAAGAAATAGGCTATGCAAATTGTGAAGCAGGTTCACTGTGCACTGGTGACCAATTCGTCTGAGTCCAATGAGACAGAACACACTCATATGTAGCAAGTTACATAAAATGGATTTATTAGTTACAAATAGGCATCAGAGGACAACAGAAGCCTAGGATTCCTTGTGAATTGGTCCTTCAAGGCTCAGAAAGCTGCCTGGGACAGATGGAGTCTCAACTGCATCTAATTCAATTGTGCCACAGATAAGGGACCTTGAAAAGCAGTCTACCCTATGTTTTATATCCTGGGGTCACATGACTCACTGGGCTAAAGTGTTGAAGGACATCATGTTCTGTAGGGGACTAGAACAGAGCCCAGGCTTTTATGATGGGTTCTTCCCTATTTCAAGAGGTTGCATTCCCAGCACATTCTACAGTTACTCTTGAGAAATACAAGCAAAACTGGGTTGGTCCTAGGCCACTTGGAGAACTCCAGATCTCTGAGGTAGAGCGTTCCACCTAGAATAGACAGCAAGTGCCAGGGCCCAGAGGCAGGAGCACACCTGCTATGTTTGAGAATCAGGGAGAAGGTCACTGTGTATGGAATGGAATCATTTAAATGAGGAATGTCAGGAGGGCAAAAGCAGAAAGAAGGAGACCAGTTAGAAGACTGTTGCTGTAATCCAGACAGGAGATGATGTATCCTGAATTTGGTAGAAGTTAATTTGTGTGAAGTAGTCTAATCCTGGACATATTTTGAAGATAGGTCAAAGTTTTGAAGGCGTAAAGAATAAAGAGGAGTCAAAAGTGACTCTAAAGTGTTTGACTTAGCATGTGGAAGAATGGGGTCTGCAGCAGTGTGAGGTGAAATGTGGAAATGTGATAGACTGTGTGTGGTGAAGGAAATTGTAGTATTTGCCTAGAAAGTAGCCTGGGGCCAGTGCCTGCTCCAGAGAGTGAAGCAGGATTTCCTATTTATATTTATGTCAAAATGAACCACGCTGGTTTCCCTAGAGAGCTTCTTCACTCAGGAAAACTTAAAGTGTCAGTTTTTGAGCCAAAAATCAAGAAGGAGAGAATATGCCTCTACAGTTTAAGTCATGAAGGATCATGTTGTCTTTGGGGGGGTTGTTGTTTTTATCTCTCTTAAAGAAAACTTTTCCCCAAATGACAAGCTCTGTCTTGACCTCAGCTGTTCCTTTCACCCTATACATGCTCCTCCTGTATGTCTCAATCCTATTCATTCTTCAATCACCAGGTCTGGTAGTAGATTCTGCTTTGCAAAAACCTTTGTCCATAACCATGGCCTCTACTCCAGGCAAGGCCATTTCACCTGTCCCTGGGATCGCTGAATCCCCCATTAATGGGTTCTTCTGATGCCAGTCCTGCAGTCTTTCAAAACTTTCTCCACGATATAGCCAGACTTGTCTTTCTAAAATAGAAATCTGATCATGTAAATTTCTATTTCTAAAATAGAAATCTCCTCTCGAGCTTAAACACTTCAATGGATCTCAATGCTGTTATGATAAAATATGGAAATCTTAATGTGGCTCAAGCCATCCTTCCTTTCTCAACCACTTGAGTTCTCCCCATTCTCTCACCTCCTACTCCATGTTCTGGCCATTGCGACTTTCTTAAAGTTTCCCAAACACACCATGCTCTATCTCATCTGTGACCCTTTGAACATGCTTAGAACACTCTTTCCCCCACTCTTCACCCAGTTGATCTCACAGCCATAATGCTCAGCTTCAGTGAGCTTTGGGATCTAATTCATGATTCAGTCCTGCCTCAGCACTTATAATTGCCTCACCACATTGTAATTGCCTGCTTAGATGCTGCATAGATGCTCTCAACTCTAAGTAAATGAGAGCAAGAATCATGTCTATCCCACTCAACATCATTAGTCCCTCGCTAAGAGCAACTCATAAATAACAGCTACTCTGTACATATTTATCAAACCACTCACCCATGCCAAATGTTAGTTCTTTAATTAAATATTCCCAAGGGCCTTCCACTGGAAGGGATTGCTCTCCCTCCTTTGGGCCTCTATACATTTCAACTCCATAGTGTTACAGATTCTTCACTTTCTACCTTCAACTTTCATAATTTATCTCTGTGATGGGACAAATTTCTTCCTATTTATTTATTTATTATGAATATTCATGTGATACAAAACTAGTTATCACCCCTCATGCCCATGATGTGAGGGCCAGATTCATACTGCAGGCATACCCACTACCAGAAATTACTTTTGTACCCCGCATCCACCAACCAATTATCCCCCAACCTCTGTCCTCTTCCTCCTCCTCCTCCCCCCCCTTGTAGCCCTAGGAAGGTTCCTTCCCTCTGTAAGACCAATGTACTACCATGGTCTTACTTTCCTACCTTCCTTTCTCTCTTAGTTCTCACATATGAGGGAGAACATGTGGTATTTATCCTTCTGTGCTTTGCTTATTTCATTCAACATAAGTTTCTCCAGGATCATCCATATTGTTGCCAATGGGAATATTTCATTCCTTTTTATGGCAGAGTAGCATTCTGTTGTGTATATATACCACAGTATCCTTATCCGATCATCCATTGACGGATGTTTAGGTTGGTTCCATGTCTTGGCTATTGTAAACAGAGCTGCGATGAACATAGGAGTGCAGGTATCCTTTGACATAATGATTTTCATTCTTCTGGATATTTATATACCACAGTATCCTTATCCGATCATCCATTGACGGATGTTTAGGTTGGTTCCATGTCTCGGCTATTGTAAACAGAGCTGCGATGAACATAGGAGTGCAGGTATCCTTTGACATAATGATTTTCATTCTTCTGGATATATACCCAGAAGACGGATTGCTGGATCATATGGCAGATCCATCTGTAGTTGTTTGAGAAACCTGCATACTGTTTTCCATAGTGGTTGTACTAATTTACAGTCCCATCAACAGTGTAGCAGTGTTCCCTTCTCTCCACACCCTCGCCAGCATTTGATATTCACTGCCTTTTTGATAACAGCCAGTCTAACTGGGATGAGGTGATATCTCAATGTAGTTTTAATTTGCATTTCTCTGATGACTAGTGATGTTGAGCATTTTTTCATGTATCTGATGGCCATTTTTGGACAAATTTCTCAAGTGAAGATTCCATGTTCAATTCATTTTTGTTTTTCCACTAGATCATCAATCACACAGCTTTATGTGTACTATGATTCCAATAAATATTTATTGAATTAGCTAATGAAATAATGGAGTTTAAGCGTTATATTTCATAACTTCCAAATAGCCAGTTTATGGAGAGCATATGCTTTGAGATTAGAAGTGGAAGGTGATAAATCTAAATAGGAAAGTTCAGGCAAGGTGGTGAAAGAGCTAGTTTTCTCAGTTAAGAGGACATAATAGCTTGGAAATTGGAGATTTGTTGAGGATTTCTGAACCAAGGAGGTATATTATCACAGCTGACATTAGGGAAATTAATCTGTCCTTAAGATAAATTTTGTGGCACAGAAATACAGTGCTATCCTATATCCATTACCAGAGTTTGGTTACTGGAGGAAGTGAATCTTGCTACTGCTGGGGATTCAGATCTTTCTTCAGAGTTTTGGAAGAAAAACCTGACAATAGAAGACAAGTATCAGACACGTTACATTACCACCTGTTTCTTAGTATTGCCTCTGGTTCTAACTGAGAAATTGCTCCAGTGCATTTTCTAATTATTAATGATCCAGTAGAATTAAATTTCAAAGTTAATCCTTAATTTGTTTCCCAACAGGTTCTCTGACTCTGAGAACACATCATGTTCAAGACTCCAAAATGGGGTTTGTGATCAACGCAATCTATTCCATGGCCTATGGGCTCCATAACATGCAGATGTCCCTCTGTCCAGGCTACGCAGGACTCTGTGACGCAATGAAGCCAATTGATGGGCGGAAACTTTTGGACTCCCTGATGAAAACTAACTTCACTGGGGTTTCTGGAGATATGATCTTGTTTGATGAGAATGGAGACTCTCCAGGAAGGTATTGTTACAATTCTCCTTTAGACAAGAGAGCCTGAAAAATAGCTAACTCTTGATCCTAAGGTGTCTGCTTTCTCTCCTTTGTGGTTATGTAGGCTACCTGGCCACCTCTTACTAGCTCTGACATCCCAGCATGAGCAGAGACAGAGAGGTGAAGTCCTATTTCCTGTGACTAGGGAAAAGCATTATGCCAATGTCCAAAATGTGCTTTTGAAATTATAAGCATATTTCAAAGACCTAATCTTAGAGACAGAAGCCTCACATTACCCTGGATAAACAAAAGCCATCTCTGTGGTTTCTCTGCACATGTTCTTCATGTTATTCCTGTTCTCTATTATCTTCTTGGGTCATAGAACTATACTGAAACAGAAACAATTCAATTCCTGGTAATCCAGAAATAGGGTTGAGATGTTGTTATACTGTTTGCTGTACCTAGTGTCAGTTATAAGATATATTTTATTTTATTATCCTTCAGCTGGAGCACTTTCTCCCTTGTTGAGGACTAAATTGCCCTTTTCTCTGAAATTTCACCTTTTATTATTTATAGAGAGGAGCCTGAGAAATATTAACTTATAATTATAGGTCAGCCTCCATGGAAAACCTTAGGTACCGAGAACTTACCAGAATTAAAGCCTGTCTCAGTCTTCAAATTCTTAAGTGCCTCTACACAGGAGACTTTCAGTCCATGACGGATAATGTCATTGAAATGATATTCTGAGTTGCAGCAGGGCTGCATCTTCACTTGGCTTTACATCAGAACAATCAGTGTCCTTTGGTTGTCTCTCCCATTGCAAAACCCTAAGTGCTTTTCCAGTGACAGCTTATGTTTAACAGCTGTGCTTGGACAAGCACACTCTGTTTGCAATTGACCTGCGAAGAGGTCTCATGAGTCCTTCCACAACTCACGCCCCATGTGCCCACACATTCTACCAGCAACCTTGGTTTAGCACATTTCCATATTCCTAAGTGAGCTGGTGTTTGTCTTAGATGCAGCCGTTACTATCTCATGTGTTGGATTTCTAAGTGACAGCAAGTTGCAGGTCATACAGCCAAGCTAAAAAATTGATATTTTCTTTATTGTAGAGACTTGAGGGGTATTGCTCCAGTCAGGCTGTTTGCCAAGATAAGCTGACTTTTCACATGTTTTCAACTTTTTGACCATTTAATATATCCATGGAGAGAAAAGTACAAGCATTTTCTCAGGTCTAAAGAAAACTTCCAATTATTGTAAATCTTGGGGCAGCTGACCAATGAGCTCAGTCTAGGCTCAGGTCAAGGCATGGGCTCTGACATCTATCTGCGTATGGATTCTTTATTCTCGTATGCATCTCTAGAGCACTGACATCAGCTTGGGGCTTGCTGATAAACTAGGATTGCTGAAGCTCTACCAGTTCAAGAGTTTTCATGTCATGTTACCCAAGCCAGTTCCATAAACCAGAAAGTGAGAAAATGTGTCATATGGCTCAAGTCTATTCCAATGGGAAACCTTAATGCGTCAGGCAGAACACTGCTGTGTCATTCATAATCCTCCAAACATGATATAATTGGGCACTATTAGGACATTGGTGCTAACCTTTTTGGGGACATAAATCCCTTGAAAACTCAAATAAAATTCATAGATATTCTTTTAAAAACAACAGACATAAAATTTTACAAACAATTTCTGGAAATGCATGATGTGTTAGAGTTTATCCATGCATTGCTAAGTTTGGATATTACATTAACCCATTAATAAATTATCAGAGTTGGCCTATGAGGGCATGGTCTAGACTCAGGAAAAGGTGTTTTGTAACTTTTTGTTTTTCCAACTAATCCAGTTATATTTACAAAACAAATGAATAAAATTTATTGAGTGTGGCTCTGAGCCAAACCCTAAGCTAAGTGTTCTGCTTTTGATTCCTATGAGGTAAGTAGTATTATTTTTCTCTTTTCCAGCTGAAGAAAGTGAGGCTTACAAAGATTAAATGACTCATCCAAACACAGTCTAGTAAATGACAAAGTTGAGATTCTAACTCAGTCTCCTGGGATTCAACTCCTAACCTTATACAACAGCCTGCCAATTAATCAACCAGGATCAAAATCAAAAAGCCACTATTTTGTGATAAATGTATTTCTAGGCATTATGTTGTTATTTTTGTGGAGTAAAAGTTATTGCTCTGCTGGATCAAAGATTTTCCCAGCTGGGCAAGGAACCAGAAGAGCTTGGAGTGATTAGGGATTCCCCAATGATGCTGGAGTCACAAGAGGGAGATTCTAAACGAAAGGTTATACAGGCATATAATACCCACAACATGTGGTGGAGCAGTCCTCCTTAATCAACACATTAATATTTCTGCAGCAAAACACATGAATATTCATACTATGTGAGTGTGATAGACTAAGAATAGCCACATGATAGTTCAGGTCAGGTTTTGTTACTAGATAGATTCAGATAGGGTCATGTTTTGCTGCCAAGTGAGTTAAGAAAATGCTTGTGGTTTTTAGAGCTCTAAGGATTTCAGAATTATAGATAAGAAATACGGATCTTTATTGTTTACCATCAGTGGTCTAGATCAGGGTCATCATACTGTGGGCTGCAGTCTAAATTGAGTCTTCTACCTGTTCTGTAAATAAAGTTTTTTGGAGCACAGTCACACTTATTTATTTAGGTACTATGGCTGCTTTGCACTACAATGGAAGACTTGGGTAGTTAGAGAGAGTCTCAAAGCCTAATATTTACTATATGTCACCTAACAGCAAAAGTTTGCTGCCCCCTGGTTTAGAGACTCTATTGAAAACTAAGGTTTAAGAGTCCTGGCTGCTGCCTGGGAGTGACCATAATTGGGCAGAGGAAACATATAGAGCCAATGTTAGACTGAGTGCAACTGGCTACTTTAAGCAAAAATTAAAACATTAAATTGTGAGGTTTATAAGTATGTGAATGTAAAATATTTGAAAACAATGGCATAAAGGAATAGGGTATGAAATTTAACAGGTTCAAGTTTCTTATATTTTGCATTAAGTAACTCAACATAAACTTTAAGTAGAATAAGATAAGAAGGCATATTGTAAACCATTGAACAACCACTACAATTTTAACACAAAGAGGAACGGTTAAAAAGACAATAGAGGGATACAAAAAAAAAAAAAAAGGAAAAAAAATATTCACCCAAACGATGGCAGGAAAAGAACAGAGACAAAAACAGATGGGGCAAATAGAAAACATGAGGCTAGAACAGTAAAAATTGCAAATACTGACCTCGTTTGCACATAGATTCCTAATTTTGGCTCTGCTCCTAAAAGGACTATAGAGAAGCAGATGATCTGTTTCAGCGTCCTAAGTTTCCTGGGGAGAAAACTGAGTCTCAGAGAAAGTACAGACATGCCCAAGGTTATGTAGTCAGTTAGTAACAGAGCAAAGACAATATGCAATTCTCAGGCATAATCATCAAATGAGAATTTACCTTAATTTTTTTTTTCATTTTTTAATAGTATGTTTGAAATGGTTCAATGCATATACTAGAAAAAAAGTTCCATTATTAGTTACCATTAATGTTCCTACTCAAACTAACTCTGTGGCCTCTCCTTAATCTATAATTATCCAACCTCAAGGGCACATATCATTACAATTGCTTTGTTGTATGGACCAGGGCTTGGAGTGCCTGTAATGCTGACCCACACAGCCAATTTAGTGCATATTTAAGAATTACACTATTTTAAAGAAAGTGAAAGCACCTTAGCACCAGGATTATAGACTGAGAAAGCTTGAGGAACCATCTAAATCCAATATTCTCCGCAGTCCCCACCCTAAAGGACTTTTCGACCCCTCTGACAACAACCTTGCTTCAGCCCCTTGGGTAAAGAGAACCTCACCGTCTTCCGAGGAAGCCTGCTCTCATTTTCAGAGTTCCAACCATTCAGAAATTTCCTTATTTCTATCCAAATGAACCCTACTTCCCCTAGTTTCTATTCTGTGTTTTAATAAAACTTCTTCTTGTTGTTGGAATATACTTTATCAGTTTGTTTTATTTTGTTTTTGAAAGATATGTAAAATTCATTTTTAAGTTATTCAGGATATTTCAGCTTTAAATTGTAGCCAGTTTTGTTGTTGGAATATACTTTATCAGTTTGTTTTATTTTGTTTTTGAAAGATATGTAAAATTCGTTTTTAAGTTATTCAGGATATTTCAGCTTTAAATTGTAGCCAGTAAAGAAAGAGACAGACATGAAGAGGCAGAGAGAAAGGGGAAAGAAGGAAGAGGGACTAGAGAAGACATTACACACATGGATACATGTGATGGGAAAGAAGTTGCAGGAGCAGAGAGTTGTAGGAAACAAAGAGACACAGTGAGTGAGAAAGAGGGGGGGAGAGATGCAGAGAGAGAGAGAGGGAGGGAGAGGAAGAGGAAGAGCAAAGGATGTAGGGAGAAGATGGAAGGAGAGAGAGTGGGGAGATGAGGGGGAGAAGGAAAGGAAAAAAATAAACTGGGCTGGGAGATTTATGCTCAAGTGTCATATGATTGGAATAACAAACTAATATTTGCTTCTGACACTGAATATGTGCAACTTGGATCTTTACCACAGCTGTCAAAAACAAAGAGCAAACTGAATAACTTACCACTCTTTTTTTGGAAAATAAAATACAGTCTTCTAGATTAAATAATGGGTAGGCAAACGTTTCAAGAGGCCTTTATGTGTTTTAATTCTCACTTAAAATTTAAATAATTGTATTTTTGAAACACCTGTCTTCTTTCGCTTTAGATGGAGAATAAAATCAGTATCCTAGCTCTGAAAATTAAAAGAACTCATACCGATTCACAAGAGAATGGGGGAATCTTCTTTTGTAAAGAATTACTCTAATTTATTTCCTCTTTTAGTGTACTGCTTTGGAAGATTTTTAAAGCAAAGTTATATTTTTCAAAACTATAGCTATCAGTGATAATATCTCTTTGTGTTTGTCTTGCAGGTAAGAAACAATGACCAGAAATCAAAAGGCTAATTCCAAAGGGAGGATTTATTATCTCTAATGTAGTTATAACAGGTTGACTGGATTGAACCAAAGTTAGCTTTTCTTGAAGTGATATCCCTGTCAAATATGACATTTTCTATTCTACAGAGTTTTTACATTTATTTTTCAAAAGTGAATCCCTTCACTTTTTACCATTTCTTGTACATAAAAACAAAACAAAACAAAACAAAAACAGAGAGACAGATATGGAGATAGGAGCCTTAAAATGTAAAGTGGTTCACATTTTAATAATATTTAAGCAATGATAAATTGATCTTTTAGCTCCATTGAGTAGATTTGGAGCATTCTAATGGAAAACAAAGAACAGTGGATTGGAAATCTAAAAGCTTAGTTTAGGTCCTGACTGATGCTGTATCCTCTGCAATCTGGCTGTTCTAATTAAGCTCACTGAGTTTCAGTTCCATTATCTGTAAAATTAGCAGTTTGTCAGAGTTAAGAATTGGTAGAAATGAGGTTGATGGCTCATTTTCGAGTGAACAATGAAATCTTCATATCCCTTTAAAAATCATCAGCCACAAAGAAAGAAGCCTCCTGACACTGGCATTTCTTTCTCCCATCATAGAATGTTCAAAGGTTATTTGCTCACAGAAAGTCACCTTTTGAAGACTTAGAGCTTTTGAAGTAGCCGATGACATAATACATGAATTCTTTTTACTTCAGTACTCTGTGTTCTAATATCTCAACTAATTGCATGCTCGGTAGCCGTGGGATAACTGTGACAGAGTGGAAAGGAAGGTATTCTATTAATTGGTACTTTTGATTTAGAAGTAAAATTTAGACAGTTAGCCAAAATTGTTACTGCCTGCAAATAACACACTGCAGGAAAATCCTTAAACTGCTAACAAGCCAAAAACAACAACGACAACAACAACAACAACAACAACAAAAAAAAACGCATAAAAATGAATTAATATTCTGAAAAACACTACCACAAAAAAGAAAAAAAAAGTGATGGCATAAAAGACAGCATAGCATCATTTCACAATGTAGATTTTAATAGACTGATGTCAGGTAGTTCTCAGTATTTCTATACAGCACATTGGTTTGAGTATGGTAGTCTGGTCACTTGAACCCAAAGGCTAGAAAGTTTTCCATTCATATCAATTTCCAAATAGATAACCATGCTGAGCATGGAAAGTTGGAGGAGGCATTTATAAGAGCCTATCTGCTAGTCCTCTAAGTTTTGGGGGGTAAAAAGCATAGAGTACTATGTGATGACATTGTGTACCCAAGACATAACTGTAGGAACTGACACAATGGTAATATTGCTCATCCAATGTCTTCACTTTGAAAAATTATTTCAGAAATGCTTCTCTAGAAATATTCTTACATATAAGAAAATGCTTGTAAATAAGCACATTTGTTTTCTCTCTTTACATTCCTATCTCCATACTTGAAATAAGAATAATAGTTAATAAAGGCTGAGAACTTGCAAGCTAATACTCTCTTCCAGCATTTTTTCATTGCATAATATACTTTTTATCTTCAGACTTTTTTTAAAAACATTGCTCCTGAAATTGCCTTTATATGATAAATTTAGCTATTGAAAAAAGGTAAAATAAGAAAGGTAAAATCAGGCCCTCTCTACATTACTCCCA